ATGAAATGTTTTCATAATCTATGCTATGACCCGTCTCGATATGATGTTTATATAAATTAGATTGAGTTCTTCCTTTATGTTCAATAATTCTGTTTCCTAAACGATGTCCTGTTAGTCCAACATAAATACCGTTACAGTTAGAACATCCAACCGAGTATGCGCCATTTTTACGAAGTATATTCCCATTTTTAGGGTGGTAATTAGATAAAAGTTTAACAATAGAAAAATTGTTAGAAAAAGCTAATTTAATTTTATATTTATCAAAAATGTTTCTAGATACCAAAAATATTTTATTATATGAAATGGGTTTGTAAACATGATTATCATTCTTTCTAACATACATTTTCCCGAAATTGATACGACTTTATATTAAATAACAAATTTTAAGCAACTTAAAGAGGTTTTTAACCACTTCCTCCATTTTACAAAATATACTTGCCACGTGGATTTCACTTTCAATACTAATGTTAACACTTCGAGATTAATCCATGGATATAGAAGGACTGGAATCATCAATAATCATATCTTTTTTATTAATCAATGTATAAAAGAAAATCTAATTTCAAATTTTGCAAATGTGAGATGTAGGAGAATCAATGATGAAAGGAAGCTTGATTTAGTTAAAAGAATTTTAAGGGAAGAAAAAAGACAACACTATAAGAAGCTTAACACCACCTACAAAAAATTAGCACATTGTTACCGTTTACTCAGTGAAGTTTTTCACTTCTTACAACTTGAACAAATTATCATTAAATTAAGGGAGGAGGCGGAAATTGTGACGGAGGAGGATTTGAGGAGGAAGAGGAGCTAATCTAATTAAATATAAAGTTAATAAAGATATACAGAGGAATAAAAATAGAATTAATATTCAGGAAGATAATTTTTAAGATAATAATTTAACTAACATCTATTTTAGTAAAGATGAAATGGCTTTCCTTAACTAAGAATATAAATTTGCTTTAATTAAGGAACCTAATTTTTACAAAACTGCCATAGATTTCGATGTTATTATTAAGCAACATAGTCAGGCTAACGAAATTAAAAGTCATCTTATTTCTTTTCTTAAAAAACCAAAAGAAATTTAAATACAAAAAACATTACAATGAAGCCAATGCTAATCATTGGAAAATCATTAAAAACATAAAACAAAAGCTCACTGAAGGTGATGCAATTTTTGTGAGGGCCGATAAAGGTGCTGGTACCATTATTATTGATCGTAAAGTTTATCTAGATAAAACATATTCATTTATGGTTTCCAGTAATTACAATAAACTAAGATCATATCCTATGGATAAGATTATTAAACAAACTAGAGAACTTATAAACAAATGTAAAGAAACTTCAATCGAGTTCACACCAAAATTAAAAATTTTAAAAACTCGACAGTTTTTAACAGTTCATTTTTTACATAAGATCGATATGCCTATTCGACCCATAACAAGCTTTAATTCTTCACCTACTTCTAAATTGGCCCATCGATAAGACACTTCAGATCTGTTTAAAAAACATTTTAATAATATTAACACCGAACATTTTAGTAGCCTGTTAAAACATGTAGTTAAACAAAACTATTGCACTTTCAACAATGAATTTTTTCATGTTTCTGAGGGACTCCCAACGGGAATGCCCCTTTCGAGCCCTCTATCTAAAATATTTTTGGACTATATTGAGAACAATTATATAATTAATATTTCTAATCCCTTCAAAAATAAAATACACACTTGGATAAGGTACATCGACGATGTGTTTTGTGTGTGGGACGGTAATTTGGCTTCACTGAACGATTTTCACGATTTTATAAATGATTTACATCCTAATTTAAATGTTACTTTAGAAATTAAGAAAGAGTGTTCACTTAACTTCCTTGATCTTGAACTTACTAAAATTAATAATACTTTATCCTATAATATTTATAGGAAACCTTCTATGGTCCCAACTACAATCCCTTTTGATTCTTTTCACCCAATGTCTAAAAAATTGGCGAATTTTCGTTATTTGATTAACCGTGCCATCAGTTATCCTTTATCAGAAAAATATAAAATTGATGAATTTAAATATATTCATACTCTTGCATTGAATAACGGTTTTCCTTTAAATACTATCACTAGTTTACATTTCAGATTACTTCGAAGTAAAAACGCATTATATGTTAGAGAGAATGATAATCATGTTTACAAACCCATTTTTATACCTCTGTATATCTTTATTAACTTTATATTTAATTAGATTAGCCAGCTATCTCCTCTTCATCCTCAAATCCTCCTCCCTCACAATTTCCGCCTTCTCCCTTAATTTAATGATAATTTGTTCAAGTTGTAAAAAGTGAAAAACTTCACTGAGTAAACGGAAACAATGTGCTAATTTTTCGTAGGTGCATGGTGTTAACCTTCTTATAGTGTTGTCTTTTTTTTCCCGTAAAATTCTTTTAACTAAATCAAGCTTCCTTTCATCATTGATTCTCCTACATCTCACATTTACAAAATTTGGAATTAGATTTTCTTTTATTCATTGATTAATAAAAACGATATGATTATTGATGATTCCAGTCCTTGTATATAGCCTTCTATATCCATGGATTAATGTCGAAGTGTTAACATTAGTATTGAAAGTGAAATCCATGTTGCAAGTAAATTTTGTAAAATGGAGGAAGTGGTTAAAAACTTCTTTAACTTGCTTAAAATTTTTTATTTAATATAAAGTCGTATCGATTTCGGGAAAATGTATGTTAGAAAGAATGATAATCATGTTTACAAACCCATTTCATATAATAAAATATCTTTGGTATCTAGAAACATTTTTGATAAATATAAAATTAAATTAGCTTTTTCTAGCAATTTTTCTATTGTTAAACTTTTATCTAATTACCACCCTAAAAATGGGAATATACTTCGTAAAAATGGCATTTACTCGGTTGGATGTTCTAACTGTAACGGTATTTATGTTGGACAAACAGGACGTCATTTAGGAAACAGAATTATTGAACATAAAGGACGAACTCAATCTAATTTATATAAACATCATATCGAGACGGGTCATAGCATAGATTATGAAAACATTTCATTACTTCATGAATGTTCTATTATATTATGTTATAAGCTTGATCTTCTGGAGCTTTTTGAAATTAATAAACACAGTCAAAACAAAAATTTTTCCATCTTAAACGATCAAGTTAGTAATAATTACAAGCCACTCTTTATGTATTTGGATGCAGATAATTGATTTTTGCATTTTGTTATTTGTTGTTTTATTTTTCACGACTGGCGTGTTATTATCTTTTTCTTCTTTTGCGACTTCTCTCTTTGGTTTTCGAGTTCTTTTTCTTTTTTTCCACTTCCAATAACGCCACTTGTTTTGTAGTATTTCTCGTGTGATTTTCGTGTATTTTTACCTTCAATAGTTTATTATTTAATTATGAATGTTCCTGTTTCTCATGATTACCCTTATTGACAGTAAGTTATTATTTTTATTTTGTATGAAACGTATATTCCCCCCTTTTTATATTATTTTTATATTATTGCTTTTCAATTAATTTAAGTAATTGTGATTCAAATTTACATTCATTGTTGTTTTTTTTTCCGCTTGTCGCTGATGATGGGAGTGTTTCCCGAAATCGATACGACAGTTTAAGCATGTTAAAGAAGTTTTTAACCGTTTCCTCCATTTTACAAAATATATTTACAACATGGATTTCAGTTTCAAAACAATTTAGTTGTTATGTATCCAAATCTTTATATCGATTTGAAAATCCACAAAGAATTTTAATAAATTTATATTTCTTAGTTTGCAATTTGCAACTTATTCAATAAATAAATAAATAGAAATAAATCAAACTTACTTTTTGGCGCTGAGTCGCCGGGCGCCGTGATTTCCCGGGCATTCAAGTAACTGAAGATTTAGTCACTATTGAACTGATACCGCGTGTGTCTCCTTTTAGCTTTCAGTGCGATTATTCTAATTGTATTATTTTTTAGGTGCTTTCTTTAGTAAGTTTTATTGTTTTTTATTTATTTTTATAAAATATAATGTGTATATCTAATAATCAAGATTATGGATCGCTGGTTGCAACCCGGATGTTCTAAACGCAAAGTAAACGAAATTGAACGAACTGCAACTTATGAAATTATCGAAGACGAAACTTCTTCAAAACCGGTTAACAAAAAAGCAAGGAAGACTCGAAAATACGACAAAGAATACCTTAAATTGGGCTTCTTGTGGAGTGGTAATGAAAAGGAACCCATTCCACTTTGCGTAATTTGTTTTGAAAACCTTACCAATGAAAGTATGAAACCATCGAACTTAAAGCGACATTTTGACACAAAGCACTTTGAATACAAAACCGACCAATCGAATTTTTTGAACATAAACTCAAAGATTTAAATCAATCTCAAAAAGTAATGAGAGGTTTAACAGGAGGTGACAATCAAAAAATCCTAGAAACTTCGCATCGCGTCTCGCTTTTAATTGCGAAATGGGGTGCAGCGGAGACGATTGGCGAAACTTTAATCAAGCCGGCTGCCAAAATAATGGCAGAAGTAATGATAGGTGATAAAGCAAAACAAACTCTTGATCGCGTATCCTTGTCAAATAATACTGTTCATCGACGAATAATTGATATGGCCAATAATGTGAAACAGATGTTATTGTCTGATATTTCTCAAAATCGTTATTATGCATTACAAGTCGATGAGTCCACTGACATCACAAATTTTGCAAATCTTATGGCGTTTGTTAGATACGAAAAGAACCAAGAAATTCACGACGAATTTTTATTTTGCCAGCCTTTATTAGGTCATACAACAGGATAAGATATCTTTAACGTTATGAATAAATTTATGCAAGATAACAAAATTAGTTGGACTAAATATGTTGGAATAAGTACAGATGGTGCAAAAAGTATGGTCGGCATTAATAAAGGACTCATTGCAAAAATTCAGAAGGTTGCACCAAATGTCAAGTACACACATTGTTGCATTCACAGAGAGGCTTTGGCAACACGTAAGATGCCTGCTGATCTGCAAAAAGTTCTTGATGAAAGCGTGAAAATCGTTAATTATATTAAAGGTCGACCTTTAAACGCAAGACTTTTTGCACAAATGTGTGAAGAAACGGGAAGCAGCCATACCCAACTGCTTTTGCATACTGATGTACGTTGGCTATTTCGGGGAAAAATTTTAAGTGGATTATTTAAACTGAGCCTAGAACTTCAAGTTTTTCTTAATGATAAATTTGAACAGAAAAAGTGTCTACATGACTCAACGTGGCTATCCAAATTGGCATACTTAGCAGATATATTCTCTATTTTAAATGGACTCAATTTATCATTACAAGGTAAAGATATTTCATTGTTTCATGTCCAGGACAAAGTAAACGCTACAATTGAAAAATTAAAGTTATGGAAAACTAGAGTTAATAATGGAGAGCTAGACTCGTTTCCCTCTCTTCATGAGTTTGTAATAAAATCATCTGATAAAATTGATACGGATGTTCTGAAATGTTTAACAGAGCATTTGGACGGATTACAAGAGGGCCTGAAAAAATATTTTCCGGATTTAACGACAAACCTCGAATGGATAAGACATCCGTTTAATATTGATTCATCTGCCATGCCAGATAATTTATCTAATGTGGAACAAGAACAGCTCTTGGAGTTATCTGCAGACGGATTTTTGAAAAATAAACATAAAGAGTGTTCTTTAGCATCTTTTTGGCTGCAAATGCAACAACTATATCCGAATTTAACAGAAAAAGTGTTAAAACATGTTTTGCCATTTCCAACATCATATCTATGTGAAGTTGCGTTTTCAGCATTAGTCGATATTAAGTCGAAAAAAAGAAACAGGATTTTGGATGTGGAGCCGCATCTTCGATTAAAATTAACGAATAGGGAACCTGATTATAATCATTTGGCATCATCTCAACATAAACAAATTCATCCATCCCACTGATGCTTTCGTTAATGTTATTATTATTACATTTATTTATTATACTTTATTATTATCCATTTTATTTTATTATTATTATTTTGTTTTTGTATTAAAAAGAACTAATATAATATTTATTTTTTGGTTGATGCTAAAAGAACATTTTTTTAACGAGGGGTACTGGAAGTTTTGATAATTACAACAGAGGTACATATATGCTGAAAGTTTGGGAAACACTGCTATAGACTAGTAACTTAAGTGCGCCGCTCTCACTCTGCATTTCATCTTTGTTTTGATGGCATGGACATTAAATTTGAATTTTCATCCAACAGCATACCCAGATATTTAATTTAACATTAATTGTTGCAGATCTTTCGTTGATTTGGTGAAACGGAACAAGTAACTAAGTTTTGCTTGAATTTAACTGTATTCTCCATGTTTGAAATCACATTCTAATTCGCTCGAACATATTTTACGTTTTGTTAATCGTATCTGGCATGTTTTTGGCATGTGCTATTATGGCAGTGTCATCGGCATATTGGAGGATGTAGGATTCGTTGTTAAAATACATAGGATCGATATGTATTTTATAGATATATGTGGGTTCGTGCTCACTTTTATTCTAAATCTAGGGGTTATGTTTTTATTTATTCACCAAAATATCGGAATTGTAACTTAAGTTTTATTTAATAGTTTATCGAAATAAGAATATTAATTAATGTCACTATACTGGTCACCGTTTTGGTCGGATCTACAATAGAAAAGAATTTTTACTGTTTGAAATTTTCGCCTATCGTTGATCTTACTGATCTTTTGCGTTACATTGCTTTTCGACTGCTGACTTCCCACCTAGGAAAGCCGACTCGTCCTACTCCCGAGAGCTTTCAAGAACAAATCCTACATCTCGGCCATCTTGCAAAGCATTCGTCTCGAATGGACTGTCCAGACACCAGGGCTTCATGAAATCAGCGCTGCTGAACGTTTTTCCGGGACCCTCGTGGTTACCAACTTTTTCCACCTCGTAGCGATCAAGACCAGTTCCTCTAACTACTCTATACGGACCTAGAAATTTTGGCAACAACTTAGATTCATTTTGAAATTGCGTGCGCTTTATGGCCACGAGATCGCCTATACGATAATTTCTGGCAGCTTTTCTTTTTTATTATAATTTCGTCAATTTTCTTGTTGGATTTTGATGATCTGCTTTTTAGCCTCTTTTCTCAAAATCTCTCGTTCCTCGTTGAATTCCTGAACGTATTCCTCCTCAATTATCTCTCTTAACCGGAGTTCTTCAAGCCGTTTCATTGGCATTTCTAATTCATTTCTAATTTCTTTGAAATGTGCTATTTATAGCTTCTTGTACTTTCTGGTATGTAATTCTAATGTTTGTAATTCTAATTTGTCTAAGACTTTCTTTGTTTAAGTAGTTTTTGTAGGGTAAATCCATAGAAATTTGATGACAGCAAACAAATATTTATAGCTTTTACAGGTTTTCGCCATCGGACCCAGATGATCGATATGATATGTGTGTAAGGGGACATCACCCTTCTCTATTGGATTTAATAATCGTTCGGCTTCTCCTGATTTTCTTTCCACTAAAATGCATCGTATGCAATTTTGTATAATCATATATTATACAACAAGACGATCGAAAATACTCGATAATACGAGACTTTTTTAAGGCAATACGTCGAGATTCGTGTATTTTCGATTGTCGTGTTGTATATGGCTAGACTATTTCATGAATAAAAAATATACATATTTTTAGAATTTTTATATTTTTTTAATAAATTACATTGATTGTTATGGAAACATGCATGGATGTCTCGAAATTAATTAAATGTCAAACAAGCGATAATACAAAGGTTCGTATTACAGCGATAATACAAAGGTTCGTATTATCGTTCTCCATGGTTACGGCCAAATAACCGCTGAAATACTCGCAATTGACGGAAAACCGCGAATTCTTATTGGCTATTAACGATATGAATGAAATATTCATATATTATACAACAAGACGATCGAAAATACTCGATAATACGAGACGTATTGCCTGAAACACCACGAGACCGAAGGTCGAGTGGTGTTTTTTAAGGCAATACGTCGAGATTCGAGTATTTTCGATTGTCGTGTTGTATATGGCTAGACTATTTCATGAATAAAAAATATACATATTTTTAGAATTTTAATATTTTTTTAATAAATTACATTGATTGTTATGGAAACATGCATGGATGTCTCGAAATTAATTAAATGTCAAACAAGCGATTATACAAAGGTTCGTATTACAGCGATAATACAAAGGTTCGTATTATCGTTCTCCATGGTTACGGCCAAATAACCGCTGAAATACTCGCAATTGACGGAAAACCGCGAATTCTTATTGGCTGTTAACTATATGAATGAAATAGTCTTCTTAATTTTTTCGTCTAAAAGGTATGTAATAATCTCGTTTGATTAACTCACTCGTTTTTTTCAAAGCAAAGTGACCATTTTCATGAGCCTCTCGTATGCATATTAATTGAAATCACAAGGAGTCTTTGCCCATCCATATCTTTATACAAAATGTTCTTCACCACCTCATAATTTTCATACTCGCCACTTTCCAAAATTTTCATAATTGTTCGTAGATGTTCGTCGTCCGATTGCGCCTTCGCCACCCTTTCCAAAAATCCGGATTCAATTATCATAGTTATTGGATTTCGACTTAGAGCATCGCAATGCTTCATTCTATGTCCTGGTCTATGCTCAATCGTATAATCAAATTCTTCCAACAAAAGCGCCCATCGTGCGACCCTTGTGCAAAGATCTTTCTTTTGCATTGTGGCTGTAAAAGATGCACAATCTGTTAAGATTTTAAAATGGTTGCCCTATAAATAAACGCGAAATTTTTTCAACGCCTCTACTATGGCAAGTACCTCGAGCTCATAACTATGATATTTTTTCTGCGCGTCACTAGTTTTTCTACTCCAGTAATAGATTGGATATAATTTTCCGTCATTTGGATTCGTTTGCAATAATACGGCTCCAAAGCCATCTTTACTCGCATCTACGTGGAGTTCCGTTTCGTTGCCATAATTGAAAATTTTCAGTACTGGTTCGCTAGTTAATTTTTCTTTGAGCTATTCAAATGCTTGCTCTTCATCTTTTTCAAATACAAACCTTTTGCCTTGTTTTAATAAATCCGTTAAAGGTTTCGCAATTAGTGAGTAATCAGCGATATATTTTCTAAAGTATCCAGTAAGTCCCAGAAAACTTTGAACTTTCTTTACCGTCGTTGGTTTCGGAAAATTTATAACGGCCTTGATTTTGTGTTTCGCTGGCAAAGCCATTTTCTATTTCATGTCCCAAATATTCCACTGAATCTTTAAGCTTCCTTCTCCGAGTGAAAGGGACTATTTCGATTTTATTGGAATTGATGCTGAGCCCATTGCTTCTACACCAAGTACTGGTGAGTAGTAGGGCTTTCTGCATTAGTTGAGTTATGATTGTATCATATTTACCTCGAATTGTGATTACCAGGTCATCAGCGTACCCTTGAATCTTAAATCCGTTTTTAGTTAGGGTGTTCATCAAGTCATCAACTACCAGGCACCATAATAGAGGTGATAGCACTCCCCCTTGGGGACATCTTCTTAGCGCCTTTATAGTCAGCGACACGCCTCCCACTTGATTATCGACGGATGTATATCTTTTACGTTTACAGCCTTCTGTATGGATTCGTAGGAGGTGTTATCAAACGCACCCTCTATGTCTATGAAAGCACATAGGGCTATCTCTTTGGTTGCAATTGCAAAGTACTAGTCAAAGGCAAAGTACTAGTCAAAGCATGGAGAGCGGTAATTGTTGATTTTGCTTTCTGGTAAGCATGTTGGGTAGGGTGGAGTGGATTAGTGACAAGCACTCCATTTCTAAGGTATTGATCGATTACCTTTTCCATCCCTTTGAGGAGAAATGAAATTAGGCTAATTGGTCTGTATGCCTTGGGGTCGGCGTTTGAACGCCTACCACCTTTAGGTATGAAGACCACCTTTACTTTCCTCCATAGTGTGGGTATATAGCTAAAGCTGTAGCTAGCTATATATAGGGATATTATTACTGGGAGAAGGTCTTCTAAGCCTTTCTGCAGAAAAATAGGCAGAATTCCATCTCCTCCAGGCGATTTTAGGGGCTTGAAATTAGAAATAGCCCACCTTACTCTGTTGGGTGTAAAAATGTTCCCAGCTATGCTGCGAACCCTACCTGATGGGCGGGTTATGTCCATTACTTCAGGGTCGGCATCTGCGCGGGAGCAGACTTTTGAGGAAGGAAAGTGTCAGTGTATTTACCATCTTATAAGTACGAAGGCTTTCACTTCGAACCAGTTTCTGAAGAAGGTTGCAACATGGCATCCGAAACGTACGAAACTTTAAAGACGAACGGCAAAACCTGAAAGTTTCTAGTGTTAGTTCTAGTTTTAGTTCTAATTTTAGTTCTATTTACCATCTTGTTTGCATAGATGGCCTAGATCAGTGTTGTGATCTTTTGCCAAGATCTTATGCAAACGAGCAACTGTAGGCGTATTATCTATGCCTTCACAGAAGCTGCGCCAGGTTTTTCTTTTTGCTTTCCTATAGAGGTCCCATGTTTGCTCGAGTTTGGAATTCCTGACTTTATTATATAGTCTTCTAACAATGACTCGCTGTTTTTCAAGGTCCTTATTGCACCAAGGCACATTGGATTGTGCTCTTTTGTGTTTTATTGGACAGCTTGATTCATACGCACTATGTATGAGATTGTTTAGTTGAAAAGAGGCTATTTCGAGATCCTCTCTGCTTTCAATGTTTATTTTGATTTCGTTAACCTCTTCGCTGATGTGTCTACAAAAAGAGCACCAATCAGTGAGTGAGGTCTGAATTCTGTTTGTTTTGTCATGTCTGCTACAATGACAAAGCGAATATGCTTGTGATCCGCTAAAGTGATTTTACGTGAAACATGCCAGTTTGCGATTTGCGAACTGAGACGAGGCGTGGCTAGGCTTATGT